AAAAAAAATACGAATGATCTGGATTGGCAGGGCGAGTCATCTGGATTGGCAGGGCAATCAAAGAGTTTAAAGGATAGAATGTAGAATGTAGAATGATAGAATGTAGAATGTAGAATGTAGAATGATAGAATGTAGAATGTAGAATGTAGAAATAGTTGTTTAAAGGATAGAATGTAGAGTTATTATTAAAAGTAACTTACAGGGCTTCCAGAGGGAATTGAATAAAATTTATAGACCCAAATTCACAGATATTGATCCAAAAATAAGGGTTTCACACATGTTTTAACAGGAATTTGCAGAGAAAAATATTTCTGACCCTTTATTTAACTGGTTTATGTCCGGAAAAATTTTTCGACCCTTTTTTTTTTTAATTTCCGGAAAACGTTTTTCCAAAAAAATAGAAAAAAAGGGAAATATAGAGGCCAGAAAAAAAAGATTGTGCTGCACGGCACCATCGGTTTTGGCAGGGCAATTCTGGCAGACACCCCCCGAATTAAAAGGGCTAGCTAGTTTCGCCCCTTGACGAAGTGCCCAAATCTGGAATTTATTTGGCGCAATTGGGACATGAGCCCGTTCCTACACTACTCGGGACGTATCCAAACAGTTGTAAGTGTTTATAGGAACTTCTAGAGTAAGTCTTTAGAGATCTTTTCCAGCATTAATAGCAAAACCCAACTCGAAAGTTCGCCGCAAGTGCTTTCATCCCAAAATACTAAAACCTTCCCACTTCCGCTTCTGCAACTTGTTTTGTACAGTATTTCTGTAATTTGTTCTATTTTTCTGTAGTGATTACCGCTTTATTATCGACAAATATCGCGGTAGAATTTCCCTTTCTTTCCCGTTTATATACGTCAATTTGTAGCAAAGGATCCACCTTTCGTTAGATTCTTTGCATAAAAGTTGCGAAATTTTGATTTTAGTACGTCAAATGATTGTAGTCGGTAATTTTAAATTTGTACACTATGACCGGCGGTTTAAAACCGATTAACTCAGCAAATATCGCTTAAAATTTCGCAACTTTTATGCAAAGAATCTAACGAAAGGTGTATATACCCATTGCTACAAATTGACGTATATAAAGGAAGGGAAGCGAAATTCTACTGGACCCTACCGCGATATTTGCCGAGAAACAGGGCCCGCGGAGCGTATTAGAGAGTGGGGGGGCTAAATCATCAATAAAACCCCCAATTAATTAATTTAGAAAGTTTCATTTAGATTTCTATTTTAATAATTTTGGCTGTCAAAAAAAGTGGGGGGGCTAAAGCCCCCCCAGCCCCCAGTCTCCGCGGTCCCTGAGAAAGCGGTAATCGCTACAGAAAAATAGAACAAAATACAGAAGTACAAAACAAGTTACAGAAGCGGATGTGGGAAGGTTCTTGTATTTTGATTGTAAACGTCACTAATCGAGAGAACTTTCTCTGAGCTACACGAATTAATTACGTCTGCGAGGGAGGAGACTAAATGATACTCGGCTTCGCTTCGTATTTTTATATCTGATAAAACACTGCTGCTCATGTTTTAAATAG